AAAACATAACTGTTGACATTTCCAGCCAATCTAGTTTAATAGGTCAAAGATTTTGCGTACGTCTAGAAACTGAAAGAGTTATGTATTTATTTTCTTTTTACTTGACCCAAGTATGGTTATTTATTTTCTTTTTACTTGACCCAAGTATGGTCCGAAACTGCCTAAGTTGTATATGTATGAGTGATAGAACGGGAACGGGTATGGAGCACGGAAAATTAGTAAAAGATAGGGTACAGGGATACGACTATATATATATATATATATATATATATATATATATATTATGAACTTTAAAATTAATAATTTACGAAAACCAATAGTATTTTTTTCATTTACATAAAATCAATATATAAGAAATTGATGTGAAGTGTAGAATATACGTCCAAGAAGTGTACGATGAGTGTTTTAAATTTAAACATGTATTATACAACTAAGTATAAGCATGAATAAACATATGCATATATTCAAGAAGTGTCCAAGAAGTTTTGGTACGTATATGTCTAGGGTATGGTTCCAGCTTCCTATTTGAAGTATCAAGGTAATGTAGCTGCCTATATATGTCTTAGTAGTTCTATTATAAACCAATTCAGTATGATGAGGACTCGTCCATAGATAATAGTAACCTCATATATAAAGTGCTTGTATATGCTGTTAGATTTAAATGGTCAAGGGACGAACTTTCCATAGGTTTCCAAAGATTTCCAACCAGATCTTTTAAGGACATTTTTTCGAGATTTCTCAAGTCTCCTCTATTCTTATGACCAGCTTACCTCCTCCTACACTTGTTGTTTTCCTCTACATGGATTCACAATACGTTTTGCATTTAAAAAATGAAGTTCATCAATCCGCTACACATTGACGTTGTCCATAGATTTCACCCAACAAGTTCCATAGATTTCACCCAACAACTTTGAATCCTACAGATCAACTGAACTCCACAAATTCCAGTATCTAACAAATAAAGATCTGGCTACAAAATCCCGAGAAACCCACATACTATTTATTCACTACGAGCCGATTGCAATTAAGTAATGTCAACCCTCGGATCTGTGCATAAATCTCAAAATCAAACGAGCCGACAGCTGACATTCGTTCGGTGCACATTTTAACGTCACGAAGCGATGTGAGATCTACTACACATTATACCAACAACAAACAAAAAAGAAAAGAGCTGTATCTAATGAGCATCCCACCAATCAAGAAGGGGGAAACAAAAAAAAGAGAGAGAGAGAGAGAGAGAGAGAGAGAGAGAGAACTTACAAGAGGTCTTGCTTCCGACGTGGCCAAGGAAGGCGGCGACCTCCTTCATCTGCATAGTCTTCCCCCCCGTCGTGCCGAACCCGAGGGGCTCGAACAAGGCGGCGGCGGTGATGAAGGAGTGGTAGTCCCAGAACCCAACCGCGTGGGCGACGGGGGAGTTCCTCTTGGCGAATAGATTCTCGAACTGGTTCATCCACCACATCTAATAAAATATTATTTTCATCTAACAACTCATCCATCACATCTAATAAAATATTATTTTCATCCAAACATCACTCAACTCATCTCTTTTCATTAGGGCTGGGCGTATTCGGTTCGGTTCGGTTTTAAGCCCAATCCGCATCCAATCCGAATTTTTCGAATTCTCAAAACTCTCATCCAGATCCAGATTTTTTCCCCTTCATCCGAATATTCGGCCCAACCGAAATTCGGATCGGTTCGGTTCGGTTTCGGTTTTAGACTGAATTAATTCCATTTCACAAAAATCTGCCCACACCTGAATACCGTTGTACTTTTGGATACATGGGATATCTGTTCCAATTCGGTATGTCCTCCCGGTGATTCAGTTTTAAATCTAATATCCTGCACTGGGATACCAAAGTATTGATGCTTGAATAATTTATTACATGAAGAATGAAAATAGTAGAGGCAATGGTTGGACAGTTTACTTCAGGATAATAAAATACCTGATGTTTATTTTTCGGGGAATTGGACATGTGGACGAAAGAAGCATCTGTTATTTCGGGGATACCGATCACTTTTTGCTTCCTTTGAGGTTGTTTCTGGTAATATGAAAGCTTATTTTTTTGGTCTTTGTAGACGTTCGTGGTAACATTTTCAATTATTTATTAGCAATGTTATTTGAAACAAACTAGATCGTTTATATACTGCAAAAGTTTCTAACTAAAGAGCATAGAAAATGTCCTTCTATCTTGACCCTGCCTAGGCTGTTGCTGTGTATAAATACACCTTCCATCCTCACTTATTGCATTTCTGTTTCAGTAGTCTAGCAAGTAGTTATTAGCCATATTTTTGTATTTCAACTTGCTGAATATCTGTTTTTCAGTATTTATATTAGAAAATGGAGTTAGGGTTAGGAATTTTTCAATATTTATATTAGAAAATTCGGTTCGGTTTTTTTTCGGGCGGTTCAAGGGTTCAAACCGGATCCAAACCGGTTTAATTCGGTTCGGGCGGTTTAGAGTCTTCTTCTCATCCATTTAATCCGGTTCGGTTAACCGGCCCGCTTTTTCGGGCGGTTTTTTCGGTTGAACCGGTTTTTTTCGGTTTTTGCCCACCCCTAGGTAGGCGTAGGCTTACTGGGGGGTTATTTAGTTGGGACTAACTCGGATAATTATTCTAAAACAATAATTTTATCTTTTTAAGATATTTTGAGTTGTATAAAATGGGACAATTTGAGATAATGAGACAATTTGAAACTTTGATTTCACAATTCATGTGAGATAATTAATGACGTGATACATTATTAAATTACAATATTTATCTATCAATTAAGTCTAAATTAATTTACATAATTGGTTTAGCATGTTATTTGGTATGCTATTATAATGTAGTACATAGTTGTACTTTATACTGAACTATAATATATTATGTTATAATTACTGATTAATTATAACTATATTTAATGTTATTAATTAATTTAATACAATATATTATAATAATATGATATATTATATACTAATTGATGTAATGTACAAACAATATATTTAATATAATATGTCAATAATATAATATTTAATTAAATATTATAATATTTTGTTTAATTCAATATAATATTATTTAAAATACTAAATTATTATTAAAAATATAACATTTTATTTTATTTTATGATAATTACTATACTTTAAATGGAATAGTTGATGACATGGCTCCTTATTAAAATATAGAATTTATAATAATCATAATACACTATTAATATGTTTAATATTATTAATTAAAAATATTATTAAATAATATATTATATTATATTAATTTTATATATATTATCATACTTTAATATATAGTAATTTATTATAGTGTTTATTATAGTAATAAAATATTATTTAATATTATAACTATCATAATATTGATAATATACTTGAGACTATTAATTAATATAATAAAGTATAAGAGAAAATAGTAAATTATATTTAAGACTATTATAACTACCAACTTTTCTAAAAGTTTCGGTTTTATATCGTCAATTATGCGAACGTGAGAATTTCTCACTAAAATTCTCATGCGATAATCACATACTAATTTTTAGAATGTTTCAACTCTTAACATTTGTTAAATCAACTATTAAGCCTATCAAGATTCTATTGCAAAGTAGAATTAGTATAGGTTTAAAATAGAATTTTTATAGGTTTAACATTAGATTTAACAAAAAGTGATGATTTATAAAATGTTCAAAATTTAGCATAGAGTGTCGCATAAGTATTTTCGAGAAAAAAATACTTACACTAACATAACCGAGGGTATGAAAGTGTAACCTTTAAACTTGCGGATATTTAAGCGCATTCAAAAACAACTGAATATATATATATGTGTGCAAAGTAGGTGAAATATTGAAGTGCAATTAAGCCCAATATATATTTTTAGTCTGGCACGGTTCGGTGCGCACGCCACTAAGCATTGTTTGTATATAGACATTGACGATGATATTTTGCGTAACATGAATTTTGATTTACATATTGTTGATGTCAGAAGTTGAGATGTGATTTGGGAGAATTAAACTTGATTTCTAGGTGCCTTTATCGTCTTTGATGGTTGATCTTCACTTGAGGGTCTTGATTTGTACTTTGCTACACAAATAAGAGAGGTTAGAGATACCAGAGGTTGTTTCCACCGGAGTGTATTTTGGCGCTCAAGTCAGTGACTATATCTAGTTAATCTCAAGACGAAACAAAGTATAGTCTTGTTGACTTTTTTATGTAATGTAGAAATCACCATTATTTATAGAGGGTTTGCAAGGGCGGGTTGGAAATTTTGGCCGAATGTGTGAAGTTTTGCTTCAAACCCTACTTTACATGTGTCAGCAATTGATTGGTTGAGTCGTCTTTCTACAGTGATGGGGCTATTAGGGTAATGGCATGTTCGATGAGCTTCGAAGGCTCTAGCTCGAAAGGTCATTATGATTCTGACGCCGCATTAATTGTTGATGATGATTGGACGGAGAAGTGCGGGCGCTAATTGTACACTTATTAAATGCAGCATGACTATTAATGATGCTTGTCAGGCCATTCCATTTGTTCGAGACACGTTGTGTCGGGTCTGATTGAGGACACCCTTCGTTTCGGAGTAAAACATCCAGCGGAGTCTGGGTCAGAAGCGCCTTTCACGTCAAATTTGGATAGCAAGGCAGGTCGGCGAGCTTATCACCCAGGTTGTACTTGCAGATGTTTTAGAACCCGACCAATTAGTTACTATGTGGGCACTCTTACTAGGCTTGGTAATTTCTAGGGTATAATATTGGCTCCTTTTCACTTAGAATCGAAAAGTCAAGTTGGAGAGAAAACAACAAGACTGATGCTGGAACCTAGTCCGTCCTTATTAGAAGACAACTGTGATTTGACATTTCTAACGTCAGCAGAGTTCATGTGGCAGTTTGATGGAGTGGTGCCTCGTTTGAGAGGACATGCTTCAGTTTCTAAAAACGGTTAGCTGTTTTCTCGTAAACTGTGCCAACCATTCATTTTTTGCCACGTGTCATCCTCTTTGCTTATATATATTGCTCCTCTTCCTTCTTCTTCTCTTTACTTTGTGAAAACCCCTAAAACTCTTTCTCTGCCATTTGTGAGCGCGTCTTCCTCTTAAAAATCTCGCCATATTCCAATCATCTCTTTTTTGCTTTGAAGGCTTCAATGCTCAACTTTCTATAGTTCGCAATGAGGCCAGAATCGCCTTATTGCGTCAGTATCACTCGAAGGTTCTCATGCGCTGATTGGTGTACTGCGCTCAAAATTTTGACATCCTTAGTGTTTATATGTTATCGGCTCTGTCAAGTGACCAGTCTGTTTATCATCATAGTGGGGTTTTTGCGCCATTGTATTGGCATCATCTTGACTATGGGTTTCGCTTTGCACCCATTCCTTCAGAAGGTCTTTCGGGCTTTGGAGGTTGCACTAGCACAATTGACACCAAATTCTATTACTTTCTGGTGGCCTTCCTCATCATCTGCCATCATATAGATGTCAGATCGAAGCTGGGTATGTTGGGCCGCTAGGTGTGTGTGAAGGCTGGCAAGAGGGACGGCTATTTCTATTTGCAGATGGTTGGTGACTCCCAGGTGATTTCAAACATCCCCGATACAAACAAAGAATGACAAAAAAATTACTCTTCGTCATGGGTGCTGATCTGATCCTGACTTGTCCTTCATGGCCGAAGATTAAGAAAGAAGTCCTGTGGATGGAGAAGCTTTTGGATGTAGAGTTGCGGGACCTAGGGAGGATTCAGGCCTACAAGGGGTCGCGACGCTGGGAGAACTTGTTCAATAATGATGTCCTCCGTGCTGCCTATATATCTTCTATCCCCACTACTAAAGCGGATTTAGCCCGTGCTGTGGTCATATCTATTGATGAGCAACCGGCACAGGGTTCCTATCCTGATTCTCCTCCTGTGCCTCAAAATATATTCTGCGACAATGTAGAGGCAGAGCATCTCCAGGTCTTGTAGCAACAACATGCCACTGACATTGCTCTTAAACTCAATTTCAGCAAATCTCTTGATCAGGTTGAGAGATCCAAGAAGATGAGGAAAAATATGGCTTCCAAGGGCCGTCGTCAGGTTGAAAGTAGCATGTGGGAGCTCTTCTTTCTTAGAAATTTGACGGTTGAGGTTGCTTCCTAGTAGATTGAAGTTGCCCTTGGGTCAACTAGTGGGGTTGCGACCCCAGAATCTTCCCATGCTCCATCTAAGTTTATCAAGGTGGAGGGTAATTTCCCGCATTCAGTTCTTAAGGAGGAAGTCAGAGGGGAAGTTATTCCTGTCAAGGAGCTGACAGGAGATGAGGCCCTGCTAGAGTCATAGCTGAAGGGGTGCTAATTGGATGGAAGAGGGGCTTCAGTCATCTAGGAGACCCAAAAAGGAGTCGCCTACTGACAATCCAGTTGTTGAGACGTACAAGCATCCAGCTCCGGTGTCCTTGGATCTCTCAGCTACCATGCATGAGGGCAGGTATGAGTGGGAATTTACTCATCATAT